GTGGGAGGGAAGTGGAGGGGGTCAATTGGGGGGAAAAATGGGATACCTGTAATACTCTCAACAATAAAGATACATTTAAAAAGTTAAAAAAAAAAAAATTCCTCAATACTCACTTTTGCCCAGGGGAAGCCTTCACTAAGCCACAGGCCAATCATGAAGGTTGGCCTCACTTTCTCTTCCACTTGTCTTCTCCAGAGTGCTCCCCAGGGGTGTGGGCTGAAGGCCTTTTGTGGTGCCAGCTTCACTGTGTGCTGTCTTGGGTACTGTTGAGCCTCGACTGTGAATCCTAGTCTGCTCCTGTATCTATAAGAGGAGGGGGTTGAAACCAGCCCCCTATCTCCTGGCTGGCTCCGCTTTTCGGCCTCCACAAAACGAGACAGCAGGACCTGGCGAAGGCATTTGCATAACAGAATTACAAAGTAGGAGAGAGGGGTTCAAGTTCTCCAGCTCTATTTTGGATCTTCATTTGATCAGACAAGGAGTGGAAAGTCACCATTTTTTTTTTTTTTTCTTACCTGAGGATATTTTTTCCATTGCTTTTCAGAGAGAGTGGAAGGGAGGGAGAGAAAGAGAAGCATTGATGTGAGAAAGAGACACATCGATTGGTTGCCTCCCGCACGTGCCTGTACTGGGGTCGGGAATCGAGCCTGCAACCAAGGTACGTGCCCTTGGCTGGAATAGAACTCGGGACCCTTCAGTCCTTGGGGCTGACGTTCTAACCACCACTGAGCCAAACCTGCCAGGGCAAAATAAAATCATTTTAACATTTTGCGTACTTCTTTAAAAGCATAACAATGGTATAACTTAATTTGGCTATTCAACTATTCAGTTTCAGTTCTAAATAATTTTTGTCTTTTTTCATAAATCAAATGTGTTCACAAAACAAAACAAAACAAAACAAAACAAAACAAAACAAAACAAAACAAAAAACAAAAGCTTCCTTTGCCTTCCAGGCTCCATACTTGCCTGATTTTCCTCCTCACCTTCTTGATGGCCTTTGCTGGCTCTTTTTTCTTTTCTTTTTTTTCAATCACCCATGGATTTCTCATGATTTAAATATCTCTCTGCTATCTGCAGCCCAGACATCCCCCATACATGCAACTTCATATTCAGTTGTGCAGATGTGTTCATATCTTGTGAGTCTAAAAACCATTTCAAACTTAACATGTCCAGAACTGAGCTGCTGATACGACCACCCCACCACCTGCTGCGGTCAGCCCTGTCTCAGCGGTGGCAATTCTGTAATGCACAGGCAAAAGAAAAGCACAGACTTTCTTTTCTTTCAGGCCCTACAAATGTGATCTGTCAACAAGTATTGTGGGCCCGTCCTTCCAGTTTCGTCATTTTCACAGCTTCACTGCTTTGTCCCTACTCTTGGTCGCCATCATCTCTCACCTGGATTATTTCAAGAGCCTCCTAACTGGACTCCCACATCTGCACTCCCACATCTGCACTCCTTAATAGGACAGCCAAAGTTATTCTGTTAAAATGTAGGTCAGATCCTGTCACTCCTCTGCTTAAAACCCTACTATATACTATATACTATATACTATATACTATATACTATATACTATATACTATATACTATATACTATACTATATACTATATACACCATATACTATATATACCATATATGATATATACTATATATACTATATACTATATACTATAGTTTCCCATCTCACAATAAAAGTCAAAGTCCTTAGAATAACCCTTAAGACCCTACGTGATCGTTTCTTGGGCCACATCTTCCCGTGCTCTCCCCACCCACCCCCTGCACCCTTTTCTCCCCAGCCCAGCCTCCTGAATGGTCCTACCTGGCAGGCCTGCTTCTGCCTTGGGCATGGCCCTCTCTTGCTGTTCCCCTTCTCCCAGATGCCAGCATGGCTTCCTCCTTTCTTTCATGTCTTTAATGTTACCTCCCCAACACTTTAGCAACCTTCTCTGCGTTCTTTCTTTTATTAGCGATTATTACTCTAACATACTAAATGTTTTATCGGTTTATGTACTGTCTATCCAGCACATAGTAAGCATTCAGTAAATATCTGTTAAGTGAATGAACGCAAAGATGATTTTCCTGGGTTGAAGGTATTTTTAAAATTGCATCATACACTTTGATAGCAGTTTTAAAGTGGTCTTCACAAATGGTTTGAATAAGCATTCACATATCGTAGATCCTCCTAATCTGATGACTTTGAGGAAGTTAAGACTTAAATACATACCTGAAAACATAGTTACATACTAGTAACCTTGGGTGTAAATACAAAAAGTAAGTTTGAAGAAAGGATGTGTTGAAAGGATTCCTGAGTCTGAACAGACTTTCTGGGAGAGGTGATTCTGGATTCGAGTGTAGGACTCCGAGCTGTGGCGAGAAACTATGAGTCATTCCAGACAAAGGAAATCACGTCAGTTAAGGTACTTAAAGGCAAAGAGTGGCTTTGTGGTGTTTGGAAGTTGGTAAGCAGCAGTACTGAATGCCGAGTGGAGCTGTATCTTGCTTTGAGATTTGGCTCTTATGGTGCCTTGCAGTGTGAAAAGTAGGCAGGATGAAAGTACCGAGGAAAATCCTGTAAGCAGGCCTCATTTTGGAGAGCACAGCCAGGGGTGCCTCTACTACTGGGTCAGGTTGTAGCCACCTGGGATAAACAACACACGGAGGAGCTGGTTTGCAGTTGCGGAAAGTTGTGCAAAAAGGACACACCTTTAAACACTGGACACGCACACCTCGGGGTGAGACTCTCGAGGGTTAAGCAGCAGTGAGGGGCACTGAGTGAAAGAGTTGAACCAAGTCTCCCGTCAAAATCTCCCCATACGACTTGAGAAGTTCATTCTTGCCCGTATTTCCCCGCTTTTTCCTGCGTGTATAGTTGATTTCGCAACTACTGCTTTATGTGAAGTGATCTTCCCAAAGCCAAACAGCTTTGCTAATCTAGAGAGGGTTATTTAATTCTCTATGTATTGAAAATCTTGTTAAATATTTATTCCTTGTTGTAGCACAGTCACAGCCAAAGCTGGTAGAACCAGGCAGCGCATCAATCATGGGAACACATACTTCTAGTCTCTCCAGAATTAGTCAACAAGAGGAATGGCTTCTACTGTGTAAAACAAAAAATAAAAAGTCATTTGAGAGGCAGGCAAACCATTTTACCATGAACAGAGAAGGAAAAGGCTCACTTGAATTCAGCCTTCCGTCTTTGCTTAGGGGTCCTGCTTGATGTAATGGTAGAGTCTGTCATTATAGTGTATTGAATGACTGGAGGCTTAACCGGTGTCATGGATCAGAATCAGAGAAAAATGTCAGACGTCTCCCTTAGCCAGTCAGTACTGACTTTGTGTCCCTCCTGTTGCTGAGAAAATAATTCTCCTCAACTCTATCCCCTTCCCAGCACATTGAGGCATGGGACACACTCCCATCAGTATGAACAGTGTCTCAGCAGGGGTAGAGTGACACCATTCCACTTCCCAGGGTAGCAAAGCAGAATCTGGGGAGTTTGGATTGAGCGTATTTGAAAAACTTTCTTCTGGAGAGCCTGTTGTATCCCCGTAAGAGGTAATTTCCCTTACTCGCCAATTGATCGTTATTGGTTTAGAAAATGGTACTTGATAAATAGTCATTGAATTTAAGTACTACTTAGGGGTTTCTCACCATGACTGGGGCTTTTGGATGGTATCGGGTCCTAATGTGTCCATGCTCCTGTTTGCAGTGGTTGGCATTCAACCAAGATATGCCTTGGGGGATGTGGAGTGGGGGTAGTCCCAAAGCTTTGTGTAGTGGCTGAGGGGATGTTTGGAAAGAACTGAGACTAGTATGTCAGAGAGATTACAGTTTGCATGCCTGTCGTGCTTACAGATTCCCTTTGAAAGAGGCTGTCCTTAAAAGGTAGAACCATAGCCTGTTTTTGTTTGTGTGTGTGTGTGTGTGTGTGTGTGTGTGTGTTTAGCATAGATGACCACATTGTGTAACATGTCTTTCCTCCTAGCCACAGTTGAAGTAGGAGAGGACACCTGGCTGGGAGAGAGCCAATCTACAGGCTGCTCAGTGGCTTATGACCTAGTCTCATGCAAGAACTTGCTGAGGGATAATGGCACTTGATAAATAGTCATTGAATAGTCTTTCTGAGAGAATCAAGTTTTCCCCTCTGGGGCTATGGAGAGAGAAATGGCAGCTGATAGTGGGAGCAGAAGTGGGGAAAGGTGTGGCTGTGAAAACCTGAATTTCTGCTGTATTCTGAGACGTTTCATGAGCAGCTAGGGCAGTGGTGTGCTGGGGCCCTGTCCTGCAGGCCCGAGAGTTGGTAGTGGGCATCCCTTCAGAGACTCAGGTTGGTGGGAGTGCTGACAGCACAGAGATTGGTTTTTGTTAAAATTCAGTTCTCCCTCCTCCAGATCTAGGTAAGCATTTACTGGCTCACCACTAGATTGGGGAAGGGATGGTATATAGAAAGCAGGGAAAGAAGTTACCTCCTCTGGGTCCTTTGTCTTAAAAACAAACAGTGTTTAAGGTAATATGGTAACATGATTGTTATTCAGATTATAATAAAAAAAGACATTACAGAAAACATTGTGAAATATATGATTTAAATATCAGTGGTTAAGTTACAAAACTCACAGGAATGTGGTCAGAGGGTAGAACCTTTCCTGTTCCTGACATCTATCAAAGGTGCAGGTCCCAACCCCCACCCCCATCCCCAGGCCCACAGAAGATGACTTGACAAGCCGGTTAAGTCTCTGGCCCTATTTCCACATGTATTCTTTACCCCTGTTACTCGAGGTAACCTGAGTGCACACCAGTTACTTAAAACCACAAGAGCCCAGTGAATACAGTTTTTGAATGCCACTTTTTTTTTTTTTTTTTTTTAATTGTAGAGAAAATGGGACAAATTAGTATGGTAAAGAGTAAAATTAGTATGGACTTTGGAATGAGGTTTGAATTCCAACACTCTTTCACCCCTTCCTGGTAGCATAATTTACTTATCTGTGCCTTGGTCTCCTTACCTGTACAATAGGGATAAAAAATAAACTCAGAGATATCTGTACGGATTAAATGAAATAGCATGTGTAAAACATCTAGCACAGTGCCGGGCATTTATTATGTGCCCAGTAATTTCAGTTCCTTTCTCTTTAATATACTTATTCAAGCCTTTAGAACAGCTGCTGGTATTGCTGACTGGCAAGTCAGCTAAGTGGATGCAATTAATTAACTCTCCAGTTGTATTAGCATGAACTTGGTTGTAATGATATTGCATTTTTTATAATTTTACACTTTTGTACTTAAGGTCAACTAAAATATTTTAAATATAGCCATAATTATTACAATCCTTTGAAACAAGCGTTTCTCCAAATGTAGGGAGCTCCTTGTATGTCAGTCTACAAATGGCTCTGTTCATTTTACTTTGTTTTAAAATGAATATTTAGGCTGTGGGCAAAGAACTATGCCAGGTGTTGTGGGGAAAGTAAGAAAACAGATGCTTATATAATTCATGGTTAAATATACAAAAAAGAGGAAAGGGAGGGTAGTACTCAAGAGCTTCCTGGATGTTCCAACTCCGCAGCTCCTAGGTACCTGACTTGAATAATGATGCTACGTGTCTTTTAAATCCCTTGTTGCTGGATTAGTTTATTTAGTTTACTTGGGTCATCTGCCCTTAGTCCCATGGTTACTGCTAGCACAGTAAGGGTGAACTCTGTCCCCTTGCCAAGGCTGTGGTGGGCTGTGGTGTTTCTCAGTACCAGATGATTTAAGGGGAGCCACTTGCAAATGGACTGGTTTTTGGCATATGGGCCTTAATACTTTGCCAAAATTGAATTTGTTTTGAAATAAAGTTTCTGATTTTCAAATATATATATAAAGCATTTTCAAGCAGTGTGATGTACAAATTACCATACTTTAGTTCATGTTAGAATAACCCACACTCTAAATCTGTTTGACATTTACCCCTTAAGTATTTTGCATCAATAAATCATTCGTGTAGCATCTTAAAATGTTCTTAAGTAATTGCATAACATCCTACACCCCCAGGGCCTGTCCCATTAGTATGAGTAAAAATAAATAAATTACAGTAATTAAGACATAATTATGTTGTCTTGAAAAGCTAAGGGTCATTTGGACGTGATTCCTGGAGGACTTATCAGTGCCAAAGAAAAGTCAGATAAGTACTGGCTTAGGCCTGTAATTGCACATCTGGGACTGACATTTTGATCATCAGAGGTAGCACCTTTTTGAATAAATTTCAACATTGCCCTTAAGCTACGATAAGTACAGAGCTAGTGTAAGGAGGGACGACGAGAGGCTGGAGGTAGAAAGAAGGACAGGTCTAAGCATCAGCATTTAGGTAATATGAAAAACTGCTGTCGCTCAGCCTGCCTCAACTCCATATATGGTGCTCAAATACGAGGTTGCAATTCTGGCTAAGCAAACACCCCCTCACACACACACACACAGGCTCCCCACACCTGGCGCAGAGGCCCCCCATCTGGAATGCGGGAGGGTGGTTTCACCTATTACAGTGCTGGCTTGTGCAAGGGTGGCTCACCCGGGTGTGCGCCTAACTGGAAGTGTGGCTCCAGTCTCACCCTCCCACACTTAGGCAAGTCTCTGCCAGATCTTTTCATCCCCTCAACTACCAAAGCTCGCAACTGATTACGGGCGGCGCAAGAGTCGCCTCAACCCCCTTCCACGTCTTCCCACAAACCCCAGGCTCGCAGCTGGGCCTCGGGGCGGTGGCTCTTCCCTTTGCTATCCCCTCGGGGGTCTCAGGCGGGACCCGCGGGTGGGATGCTCGGCTCCGCCCGTGGGCCCCCTCGTCTGACAGGCAAGTCCCTGGCAGAGGCTTCCCTCCGTGGAGCTGGAGGCCGGGGGC